GAGTTTTGAATGAAAAATTGTGCAGGGTAAAAGGGAGAAAACAAGTTTGGAAGTATTAGAATTGAAAAAGAAATTTTTAGACCCTAAAGGCATACCTTTCGGCCAACTCAAGAAATAGGAGGAGTTGGATTTTGATAAATCCAAGCTTACATTTGGATTTCTTATGAAAAATTAAGTGGGAAATGGCTAAGAGAATGAATTTAGGAATCAAAATCAAGAAAGTGGAAATTTAAGGTTAAAGAGGAATCAAGTTTGAAACTTAGAGTTGTTAATAGTTTTCATGGTCTTAGAGTATTGGCTATTATTATGTATTGTGAATTTAGGGCCATTAGACACCAAGAAAGAGGAATGACAAGATCGTTCAAGCAATCTTGGTGGTTGAGAAATAAAGGGAGCAAGAAAAATGCTTAAGGATAAAAAGTAGTGAACTTACCCTTATTGTATGCTTAATATATATGCTTATGTGTTGGTGTTGATGATGACTTACATTATGAAAGATCGAGTGTTGCTTTATTTCTTGTATGTTCCATGCCTATGTGTGAATGGAACTCTGAACATTAAAGCATGTCATTTTATAAGCATGAAAGCATGTAACCAAGCATGTCATCCATCAAGCATTAGTATTGTATGCATATGGGTAATTATTTGCTACTGAGATTCTCCTAAATCTCACCGTCCCTTAACTAACCTTAATAGTTGATAATGATCAAGCAAAAGAATGCATGAAAAGGAGGCAAGGAAAAGACATAAGAATTCAAGAAATGTATTGTATCACATTATGTAATTTGTTTACCAATGTATGATGTAAATGTGCTACTAATATTATGTGATGCTGAATAATGATAATAGCATGTATAATTGCTATGATGTTGTATGGGAGTGTTTAGTACATGGATAGAATAATAATATGTTTGAAAGGTTAATCAATTATTAATGCAAGTAAGGAGGATAGTTTGTCTCTAAATAAACCATGATATTGCTATAGAGTGAAAGTGAGGCAAATGAATGAATCTGCTTATAAAATTTGGTAAGTATCTAGAACACATTTTAAGCTTTAAAACAAATGGCAAATCACTTAAATTGGATGTGTGCGCTAAAAGTTATGATCGTATAAAGTCAGGGCAGAGAATCTAAAAAATACTATTTCGACTAAATGAACAATAAGGTTCATGCAATAAACTGTACAAATTGGCAAGAGATAAGTCTAGATTTACATTTTTCCTCATAAAGAATTTAAAGAGGTTCAAATAAAATTTTGAATCACCTCAATACAATTTTTCTATAAATAGTAATCGGATAAACAAATTTCAACTTTTTAATCTACGAGCTTGTTTCGTGTTCTGCTTGAACCGTAATGCTTCCAAACGTGCACTAAAAGGGGTTTAAGGAAGGATATTTCAACTTTTGTTAACTTTGTGGTGTTTCTCATCTTTGGATTGTTTTTAACTTGTATTTCCTATTTACTTGAATGGTTTCAAGGCTACTAATGGCCATGTTCTAGTTGTTTCCTTTGTGCTGTTATTGGTTACCTCATGTACTTGTTTTATTCATTTCTCTTTACCTTTCTTTCCTGGCTTAATCACTCCCTTCTCTCTTTCCATGGATTTGATGTGTTGTGCTCCAATTTAAATTAGACTTCACAATGTCCAGTTCACTTAGTAGTTTGTCAATTTTGTGCTTGATAAATATTAAGAGCAATGTTTGATTCAAGTGTGGGGGAGGGAGTTTGTGTTTGAATTCAACTAGATCTATCCCTTTCATCACTTGTTGCTTTTTAAAATTGTATTTGGATGAGATAAATTTTGGTATTGTTGAACCTTTTTCGTTATGGTTTTGATGATTGCTATAAAGAGTTTGAAAATTGCATTACACCTCTTGTTTTACACGTCTCTGCCCTTCGTCGTGGCCAATTCCTGGCTACACCGTGGTGAAACCATGCGTGTGAGGATCTTTTGCTCTTGAAATTCTTCGTCATGGTAAGAACTTCCACTGATTTGACTGATTACTAAATGCCTTGAGAGCCAAGATCACAAATTAACCCAAGATTGCACTACAATGATACAGCCTTAGGACATTTCACTCTCGGAGCCTTAATTGAATCCTAAATAGCTAAGTGTTTAAAAAACATTGTAAAATTGGATTTGATTGTCAAAGTTCATGGTCGATAAGGATAAAAGAAATGATGTAAGGAAAAAGTGCTTGTTTTTGAACTTTTAGTTATAAGAGTAGTGAAGTGGAATAGTTTTGGATTGAAGGGTTTTAGTAAAAACGTTTTTGGTAATGGGAATTGAGCTATCCCTATTTTTTCAAAATACTGGGAGCTGAAAGCACTAAGTCTTAATTAAAATCCTAAACAATCGTTTAGGCCCAATGCTTGAATTAGTGAAAATCACTTTGGTCAAAATAAATTAACACTTTCTCAAAACATTATTGCAAGACCACTTAGTGTCTAAATAAAATGGAGTAATGCAATGCTCTCCTTGGATACTGATTAGTATCCAAGACCCAATGGCAATCAAATTAACTAATAATAATCATTGCAAATCAATCAAAAGCCAAGGGTTAAGAAAGATATAATCATACATTACTTAAAAAACCACATCAACATCGTCTAAGTCAAATACAAGAAAATCAATCATAAGGATAACTTATTAGCAATTCAAGGTAGCAGAATATGAATTTAAATCCTGAATTTAGAGATTCAAATACACATAGCTACAACAATTGAAAATAGCAACACCCTATTGTAGTTTATGAGCTCAAGCTTAAATCCCCAACACCTAAGAGTACCACAAGTTCAGCCACTCATAGCTCCAATCTTGCTCCAATCAGTTTCAACACTCTTGGTAACCATGGAAGACGAAATAGGTATGAAAAGGTGACGTAGAGGTGGAATAGTGAGGATTAATCAGTTCAAATATGGAAGATTGTTGATGAAATGAAGTAAAAGTGAAGAATTTATGGTTGGGAGTGGTGGAGAGTTGAGAGAAAATGAGAGGAAGTGAGATTATGTGTTTCTGAAAGTGGAATGGTGGCAGGCTCCTCAGAATTTCGAGCTCTTAACCTAATTTGGGGGTTCCCAAACTCAGATAAGTAAAACTCTACTTTTTGCTATCTGATGGTTGTTGCTGCAGTGAAACCAATTCATTTCTATGGTTAAGAATCTAGGGAGGAGGTGTTGTGAGCTTGAGGACTTCACTGCAACAAAGACCATCTTGTGTCGCGACGAAGAATACAGAGAGGGTAACTCTTTCAGGTTCTTTTTTTGAGTTGGCTTTCTTTCATCATACTTTAAGCTCCCTGATAACCTCTCAAAATTCCTACTGAATTAAGCTGATTTAACGCTCTTTTATTGGGTTTATAAGTCAATTTTGCAGGAAACAAAGCCTGAGGAGAGTAAAGAATGGAGTAAAGCTGAAAAGAAGGCATCCGCCGCAGCCTCTTGAAGAAAACGCCGCGGCAGATCAAACAGAAAGGGAGGAGTGCGCCTCTGTGAAATCCGCCGCGGCGCCTTGCTGAATCCGCCGCGGTGCCCAAGCTATCTCGGAGGAAACCTGTTCGGTGAAATCCGCCGCGACCTATTATCACATGCGCCGCGGCGCCTGAGCCACAATGTCATTCTGTAATAGGCGCCGCGATGCCTGAAGGAATACGCCGCGGCACCTGGCCCCTCGCAGTTATGCGTTTTACTTGCTAACTTAAAACATTAGGGCATATAGAGGTGGAACTGGGTTTTCTGAAGGGGGTTCGACTTTTGGAGCAATTTTGGAGGCTGGCTCTGCTAGGGTTTGGAGTTTTGGAGGCTTGGAACCTTTGGGCTTGAAGCTAGAAGAGATTCAAAGCTTGTAACTTGAATTTTCTGGGTTTCCTTCTTCTTCCCTTCTTGTTTCTACTATGACTATTAGATACTCTTATAGTTGTAGTTCTTTACTCGATATGTATAGCTAAATCCGTTTTTCTAGGGTTATTTTGATCTATTGTATGGATTGAGACTTGGGTTTTACTATCTCTTTAGTGTTAATGATAATATTCGGTTGTTTTTACTTTGAGCTTAATGCTTCCTTTTGTCTGGCCATCATTTGGATTGATTGATTGATTAGTTTAACTTTCTCAAGTTAAACTAATTCGTGAACTTTGGTAAAAACGTGCTAGACCAGAAATTTATTTGAGTGAATAGATGGTTTGTCGATTGATCAGAGATGTATCTGTTGGCCTAGCATAGACTAAATGGGTTTTGGTTTTTAAAGAGCAACCTTTTCAAACAAATGCAAGAGATTGCTGTGTTTTAATTGTGTTTGCAACATTTGGTTTTGACTTGAGAAAGCTTAGTCACTTCTATAAACCCAGGCTAACTGAACTTATTGTAAAGCACTACTTGAGAAGTAATTAATCCAGTTTCATGAAGTACTTTAGTGAAGAATAACCCTAGTCTCTTAATTGTTTCAAGGTCCATTTGATTTTATACTGCTTTAAACCATTGTTTTCTTAATTTTCATTTCACAAACTCTTTTACAACAATTTTTTCACTTAACCTAATCAAATACACAATTATGATTTTTCAACTCATCTAGCCTTAGTCTCTGAGGGAACGATACTTTTTGTATTACTTGTGATCCCGTCCACTTGTGGTCAAGTTATGTGGTGAACAAGTTTTTGGCGCCGTTGCCGGGGACTAACGGCTAGAGTGTTTGAGGTTGATTGTCCTTATTGTGTGCTTGGTTACGCTTAAGTTTCAGTTAGCATTTGTAGTGATTATAGGTAGTAGTAGTATTTATTTTGTTCATTTCTCTTGATAAGTTTGATACTTTTGTTTTTGATTTGAATGTGCAGGTAACCCCTGACGCATGCAAGGAAGACTGAAAGTTATTGTGGAAGAAGCTACTGAAGAAGTATCCAGGTCGGGAGAAACTGAAAACACACCGGAGATTTAACAACAAACTCAGTTACTTCCACCGCCGCCACCACCACCACCACCACTTGAATCAGAATCAGAAGAAAACATGGCAGAGGAAGATGAGAATAATGTGTACACCCTGGATGACTATTTGGATAAAGAAGGGCAGACTTTTCACTCAAGTATCCGGCTACCAGACATTCAAGCCAGGAATTTTGAAATCAAGCCCGTTATGATTCAACTACTGGGGATGATGGGTACTTTTGAAGGAAATTTTAAGGATGATCCAAATGAGCATTTGACCAAGTTTATAGAGGTTTGTGAGAACTTCAAACAAACTGGGGTTACTAAAGATGCACTGCGATTGAGATTGTTCCCCATGTCACTATCTCATAAGGCGAAAACGTGGTTAAATTCTTTACCAAAACACTCCATTAAGACTTGGGATGATCTTGTGTCTAAGTTCAAGGGTAGATTTATTCCAAGGGGCAAACGTGCTACATTAAGGGGTGAATTGCTTTCTTTCGAGCAGCATCCGAATGAGTTATTCTACGAGGCTTGGGAAAGATTCAAGGATATGTGGAGAAATTGTCCAAATCATGAGCAAAAGAAATATGTTCTAATGGAAGCCTTCTGGAATGGGTTGAATGATCAGACAGTGACAATGCTGAATACTGCTTCAAACGGAGGAATCGGAAAGATGAAGGTAAATGAGCTATATGAACTGTATGAAGAGGTGGCATCTAGCACTATGCAACAGTATAACAAAAGAAGGCAAAGTTCTGGGAGATATAAGGAGCCTAGTTCTTCATCATCAAGGGATATTGCATTGCAACTTGAAGCAATATCTAAGAGATTTGACAATCTGGAATTGCAGATTAAGAAAGGAAATGCTGCAGGAGTTCATGCACTTCAGGCTCCGGGATACACTTGTGACCATTGTAATGAGGAACATCATTCTGATCAATGCCCATACACCTTGGAGACAGTCAATTATATGAATAATGCGCAGCAAAGACCACAAGGAAGCCCTTACTCTCTCAAACTTACAATCCAAATTTGAGAAATCACCCAAATTTCTCTTGGCGAAATGGGCCAAGTTTGAATCCTCCACAAATATTACCATCTGGTGCTAAACAAATGGGCCTCCTGGTTTTCATGGTCAACACACAGCAACATCAATTGCAACAGCAACATCCTCAAAAGGAAGAATCCAAAATTGAGAAGATGTTTGCTCAACTATTAGCAAATCAAGAATCTGCAAGGGCTGAGAATAAGGCAACATTTTCTCTCTATGAAACAGCCATCAAGAATCTCGAGGTGCAAATGGGTCAACTGGCTTCACAAATGAATGTACTCACAAGGAGCAGCTTACCAAGTGATACCATTCCCAATCCAAAAAGGGATGGTAATGAAGAGTGCAAAGCTATCAGTTTGAGAAGTGGAAAGCAACTACCTAACATTCAGAGGCCTAGTCAGACTGCAAGGATATCACTAACAGTATGGCTACTGACCTTGATACAAATGAGCTTTCAGAAGAAGGTGGTATAGTAGAAGAGGAAGAAACCAGGAAAAGGAAGCAAACAGAAGAAAATCTCACTGATGTGGTTCGAGGAAAGAATGTAGTGGGTGAAATGGTTGATGATAAAAAGAGGAAGACAACTCCCCCTCTTGCTACACAGATGCTGCCACTTCCCTTCCCTCAAAGGTTCAAGAAGAAAGATGAAGATGTCCAGTTCAAGAAATTTGTGGACATGTTTAAGCAATTACACATCAACATCCCGTTTGCTGAAGCATTAGAGCAGATGCCTAAGTATGTTAAGTTTCTTAAGGATGTTCTCTCCAAAAAGAAGAGATTTGGTGAATTTGAAACCGTGGCTCTGACTGAAGATTGTAGTGCCATCTTGCAGCGAAAACTCCCACCCAAATTGAGAAATCCAGGAAGCTTTTATATTCCTTGTAACATAGGCAAACACTTCAATGGAAAAGCCCTACGCGATTTGGAAGCAAGTGTTAACTTGATGCCTCTAGCTGTATTTAATCGATTAAATTTGGGTGAAGCAAGGCCAACAACTGTTACATTGCTCTTTGCTAACAGATTATCTCATATCCAAAAGGGATTGTAGAAGATGTCTTGGTGAAGGTAGACAAATTCATATTCCCCAGCTGATTTCATTGTGTTAGACTGTGAGGTAGATTGGAATATCCCCATTATTTTGGGACGGCCATTCTTAGCTACTGCAAGAACCCTCATTGACATAGAAAAGGGTGAGATCACCATGCGAGTAAATGATGAGAAGGTGATATTCAACATGAATCAAGCCCTGAAGTTTCCAGATGATTCTGCTCACTGTAATTGTATCGATGTGATTGATTCTACAGTGCAAGAGGAGTTGATTAAATCTTTGACCAAAGACCCATTAGAAGCATTGTTGATTGGAGAAACAAGTAGTATTGATGGTAAGGTTGAAGCTTATGCAGAAATGATGAGTATTGAAGCATTTCCGTATCGAAAAGCTAAGACTTTTGAGCCTCTGGATGTGACTAGTGCTTTAAGCTCTCCTTTAAAGCCTTCTGTGGATGAACCGCCGGTGTTGGAGTTGAAAACTTTACCATCACATCTCAAGTATGCCTACTTGGGTAATTCTACTACTTTACCTGTGATCGTTTCTTTCTAAGTTGTCCACGTTGCAAGAAGAGAAACTATTAAGGGTCTTGAGACA